ACGGCAACTTACCTTGTATGCGCGAAAGGATTCGCAAAATTTCGGCTTGCATTTACAGTGGGGAAAGGAAGCAAAAATCTGACACTAATGAGTAAGGAATTCTGAGACACGCAAAGTTGGGGCACTACGGGAATTCAAAATCTGACAGAAACGAAAATAACACTTCCATTTTAGTCATAAAAAAATTCGTCATACTTTCCTTAGACTCCCAGCGGTAACGGTGAAAATTATTCTCCGTCAAGTAACTGCAAGTTCTCAGGTTCCCTTACATGCAGTGTTTACTTTTAGTCGCAGTAAACTTCACGTTCAAAGGATGAATCGACTTGGGTCTTCATACATTTTCGCAAATTTTGTTTATTTCGACGTTTTTTAAAAAGCTACAGATAAAACTGCCGCACAGACAAGTTAAATGTCTTGAAAAGATATACATAAACGCCTACATGCATGACAGACGCGTCTTTACTGACCTTTCTGATGCTGCACCACGCAAGAGCATGGTATTTTGCTCTTCAGTCGGTTTCCCAGGGTTTTTGTACGGCTTGTAGAACATCGACATGTGAAGCCAATAATTTCGCAGATTATTTGGGTCCCGACTTTGTACTACTGACTGTCTGAAGCGTAAGGGTTTTAGTTGCAATAGGTATACTATTTGGTGAGTGAAGATTTCCTTTCAGTGAATTCTTAACAAGCTAGAAAATGTTTATGGTAACGGGCTCCAATAAAACCTGAGATTAATATGAAAAATTGAGTAATTTTTATTTTTGCAAGAGTGGCAAGGTACGAGAGGATAAGCAGAGGCATCCAGTATTAATAAAGTCAGATAATGGTGGATAGTGTAGATGGGGAGATCGGCCCCTGATTGGTTCCTAACCTAGATTTCCTATAAGGTACGGCATATTCGTGATTCTGGCAGTTGGGACCTTAGTGGCTTCCCAGAGGGGTACATGTCATTAACCCGTTTCAGCCTCTCAGGCTTGCAGCACGATTACGACCCGGTTCTGAGGAGCAGCCCCTCCAGCAATGCCGCCAGTGTTACGAAGTGTTTCTGCAGGCGCACTTGCACTGGGCACGTTTTCCTCCACGGCCAAGGTCACACTTGCGTCGGTCACTGAGGGCCGTGTTACCGCCAATCTCAGCTAGCATTCGCCCGTCCGCTGGCTGATTGGTTTACCCATTACGCGTGACTCTCAAACCAACCAATCACGTAGGCAGTATACGGCCATCAGTCATCACTTCTATGCTGCTTTCTTCTTTTCGGAGCCCTAACGGCCCAAGGTCATTTAATTGCATTACGAAAGTTCCTGCAGTAAAGCCGCTCCGTCATATCTCGGACGCAGCAGGTCGGGGATTTGTTGCGACGTTAATAGTGACCCCTAAAACGGGCCACGAGTTAAATGCGCTGGACCAACACAGTCGCCAGATCGGAGTTCGGCAGGCGTTATCGGGAATGCACATCCGTAATACATGCCAACATTTGTCGCTTGTGGCGGCAGACCCACTCACCGGTCCACTCCGTGTCAGATGGGATTCCTGCCATCCCCCAGGTGTTGTGTCCGTTGAGGACCAGTGGGATGCGGGTTTTCGCCGTGCCAGCCACCTGCGCGCCCTTCCGTCCCCGGTCTTCTTGACTCTGTCTTAGGTGGGCGATGGAGGGAGAGTGAGGTAGCTGCTGTGCAAGTCCACTATCACTATAAACGAATTTAGGTACAAGCCACCGCCCCTGATCCCACCCTGCTGTGGAGCACACGGTGGACCTCGCCGGTCACGACGGTCAAAATATCGTCAGTTAGCCTGCAAAAACAATAAAGTTTTCCGCGCCTTCCCGCGCTCTCGCTGATGCGGCTTTTCCAAAACCTTCATGTCTAAGTACTGCACTTTAAAGAAACTTCCGAGCATCATATCTAACTGCTTAGGAACTTCGCTTTCCCACAGAACGATGAGTGAATTTTGTAAAGTTGACGGATGTCAGTTCAAATATCCATATCAGCTTTCGGACAGAAACTAATAACGTTAGTCGGAGGAAGAATTGGCTTTAAGTTTATGCATTTATTTCAAAGGAGGGCGATAAAATACAGGAGTCGGGAGGGCGCTGCGAACTTCAATCAGCTCGCGGCCCATCTTACTCGCTGTCCGGCTGACTTCATTCGTTTCTGTCCATCTCGAGATTGCTGGCATCGATTTGTGACATGTAATTACCACGATGTATTGCCCCTATCTGTTCGTACGTTCGGGATCATAGTTTCCATCCAGATTGACCTGCAGATGAATTTACAGTCATCAGAATCATGTCAAGGAGTTTGAAATGTCCTGTGACTTTACTCCATGTTTGGCTTATGCATGCTAACGAAACTTCGGGGCCTCATATTTAACTGCTCAGGAACCGCTCTTTCTCACAGAACGATGGATGAATTTTGCGAAAATTATGGTTGTATCTTAAAAATGCTTAGTCACAAATGCCTGCGCCCCATGCCTGCGGTGTGCGAAAAGGCTCGTAAACATAAGATGTCACATGTTGAACGTGGAATGAATGACAGCGCAGACGTTCTGGAATTAAAATGTAACTCTTCATCACCAACCAATAAAGATTGACCATGTGATAGACGACAATTCGCCCCCCCCACACTACGCCGAGATTCGCAAAGTTTCGGTTTGCATTCGCGTTATGAATGGATAAAGAAACACTATGGGAAGCAAATGAAAGTCTGTTGTCGAGAAGGAGCGAGCTCTGAAAAAATAGGTGAAAATTAAAACGACAACAGTATTTCCTTCTCCGACATAAAAGACAACTCGGCGTAGTTTAATCAACTTTCTCACATTAACTTTAGGGAATGTTCTTGATCGAGCAGTCGACTGCCAGGTTTCTCTAAAGGCATGTTTTATCTATGCTGGCCCATTTATGGAAAACTCAGACACATCGGTTGGATTCGAACCCACGACAGTAAAGGGAAGGCTATAGTACAACCGACGCTCTGGCCACCTGAGCTACGAGGCCCCACCGGAAGACATGAATTTAAGCACATTTGGGTCATGTCACCCTCCCAGCCTACTGCAACGTCTGGAATCGGCCAATGCTGATACAGTAAGCTGACTGCCAGGCAGGATTTCCTAAGTAATTCACCTAGGATCCACCAGATGACCACCGGACTCACTGCTTGGGCATGAAGCTTACTGTGTCAGATTTGGTGAATCCCATAAGACAGGGCGGGTGACTTGACAAAAGTGTGTTTGAAATCACGTCTCATGGTGGGACCTCGTTACTCGGGTGGTTAAAGCATTGGCTGTAATCAAGCCTTCTTCTTGCTGTTGTAGGTTTGAATCGCATCGAGGTTGCCGAGTTCTTCACAGACGGTTCGAAATAAATTATTCAAAAAATCGGTAAGATCGCAGTTGGCAGCCAGGAATGGGGAGGCGGACAGCCAGGTCCCCGTCGTACGGGAATTATGGCAAAGGGGGTGATATGGTTAGGGTAAATGGAACGGCTGGTAGACGAATGCTGGAGTTTCTGGGTAAAAGTAAAGTTACCAGGGAAAGTGCTGGGAAGGTTTAGGTAGGTGGAATAATGGCAGGAATTTAAGCCCTACGCGTAACCATAAAATACAGCCCTGACCGCAACTGTAAAGCCTAAACCTAAGCCTCAAAACCGAAACGTAACCAAACTCCTAAAACCCAACGCTAACCAAAAACCCAGCCATAACCCAAACCCTAACTTTGACCCTAACCCCAACATTAACCCTAACCTTAAGCCTAACCCTAACCTTAGCCGTGACCCTAACGGGAACCTAAACCCTACCCCTAACACTGAAACCTGACCCGAAAACGCAAACCCTAATCCTAAAACTTAACCTACGCCTAATCCTAACCCTCACTAAACCCAACAGCCTGACCGAAACGGCTGACCTGTCTAAATCAGTGACAGCACACCCACAGATAACCAGTTCCCTAGGCAAGGTAAACACACCCACTGATAACAAGTAAGTACGTCGACAGTATCAACGTACAGTGCCTGGCTACCAACTGCGATCTTACCAGAAATCTGTCAAAATACGCATATTTTATTGCTGACAGTTATTAACGTTGTTTGAATAGAATGAGTCGGTTTAAATTGATGTCAAATTTTGTAAGTTTTTGTTTATGTCGGTGATGTTTTATAAGCTGAGGCGAAATATATCATGCTAAACAAGTTAGTTGCCATAGGAAATAGCCCATATATGTAAAATCTCAACAATCAAAGATGCCGGGTGACTAAGAATTTAATCCTGCTGTAATCAAAGCTGGATTAAAAAATTAGAATTACCCGACGTTAAGATATACGTTGAATTTTAATAAATTCTCACCAAGCCAGCATAGTTATATAATGAAGGGGTCAGTTAAAACATCGGGCTGATTATGAAAATCGATTACTGCTCATTTTTTCCCAAAAAATGGAGGAAAGAAAATACAGGGGTATTGGTAGGTCCAGGTTCAACCGCTCGGGTTTTAACCGTTACAGAAATATTGACAACACTGTTTGATTGTTTTTATTTAAAAACTGAGGAGAGTTCTCGACCTACTTCATAAACTATCGCCCGCAGTGACCCTCATCTGAAATGGTCACGACAGTCAGGTATTTCCAAGTGTTACTACTGAAATCGCATTCTTACCGACTATAAAAATTCTATGCTAGCTATGAATTTACACAATCTAATGCGTGACATTAAAAGGGCAGGCATATAGCATGTTGGGAAGCGAGTTGAGATCAGGGAGGCACGATCGCTGGCACAAGAGCTTTATTAGCCTGACGAACCCGAAAGCTGCCTAATTCAACGTCGCCCAGAAACGATAAACTGGTGCACAACCTGTCTTCAAAGGATCAGATACAGGTTTTACGGCACGAAGCTTCATCCAACATGCCTGAAGCCAAACCTGTTAGTATGATTGCAGCAGTGGAATCAATCCTTAGTCAGACGGAGGCTACGGAGGAGACTAAGAGCCTCCTCTGACACCAAGTGTCATCCCTTCTAATGGCTCACAGGCCGCGGGAAAAGCTGCCCAAGGTCGAACGGGATGCGCTTAGAGAACTCAAGGCCGACAAAGACCTGGTCATCGTGCCAGCGGACAAAGGACGCGCCACAGTTGTACTGGACAGGACAGACTATCTTCAGAAAGTCAAAGGTTTACTGCTGGACCAACATTTCTATGTCCCATGTGCAACGAACCCTATAAAAGCGCTGACACGCGAAAGTAATGCAACGGTGTTGGCCTTGGAGAACTCAGGCGCAATAACACTGACTGACAGACGTATGGCGAGACCCCAAGATGAGGTTTTGGCCCGATCCTATGGCCTTCCTAAAGTGCACAATGACGGCGCACATCTTCGGCCCATCGTGTCGCTCAAAGATACTCCAAAGTACGGACTGGCTAAGTGGATGTTCCGGCGTCTCAAGTTCCTGACTGCTGAGTCAGACACCACGGTCTCTTCGTCAGCACAATTCCTGGAGAAACTCAAAGGGGTAAGCCTCCATCCACATGAGGTCATGGTATCTTTTGATGTTGCGTCCCTTTTTACTTCTATTCCCCAGGACCTGGCTATCGAGACAATCGAACTGCTTCTACAAAGCAAATACGATGAAATGGAAAATCGCCCCGGACATGACCAAGTCCTTCAGCTCCTGAAGTTCTGTCTCAGGATGTACTTCACGACTGCTTCCTGGAACTCATCTCTTCGCTCCTCTTATCAAGGAGACCGTTCAACTGCTCTGCTCAGCGACCTGCGCGTATCAACAGTTGGTCTCACAGACCTCTTTGTACACAAACGAGCACTCTTGCGTGGAAAGTCGACAGTAAAATATGACTGCTCTGGTCAGCACTTTCCTTACAGAACTCTAAATATTGTCCATCTACATCAGTATTCTCGGGAGATCGAACCTCGCAGGGATGCCCAGACGAGTTAAACTGACTACCAAAACTTGACCTGACATGGTCATAACGGTCGGCCAGAGTCCGCAACAATATCTTTTTATTTGATCTATTTGTGAAAACTTCGGCTGCCTCGATAGGATTCGAGCCCATGACAGGGTTTCAGTACAGCCAACGCTCTACACACTTGAGCTACGAGGTCCCAACGGAATCTGCTATGGCAGTTTCAGCAAACCATGGCTCTTGCAGTCTTGTGTGCGCTGGCGGTTCTATGGCACCTGGCTCCCTGCCAGTAGATGCGCTTCCGCTCCCGCTGGGTATACAGGTGGTGGGCATGGCTGCCCAGTTATCCTCGTCGCTCTGGCTCCTGTTGGGGTGTTGCTGTTAGCTAAAATCCCAGTTAAGTGTTTTTTATGGACCAGGGGGTGGGGTGGTAGGCCTTGGTGCGAGTCCAGCCGTGCCAGCCACCTGCGCCCTCTCTTACCTCCGGTCTTCTTGACTCTGTCTTGACACCGAGCCCAGGTGGAGGAGAAGGAAGTGCGGTAGATCCAGCGCAAGCCTACTCTCGCTTTAAACAACAGTGGGTTGGCTAGCTCATGAAATGTCAACCGAAATTCCGAAATGCCTTTTCGTTTCGAAAAGATTAATTAAGTGGGGTTGTAAAACTAGTCCGTCTGCAACATAATTCTATAATAGTTCAGATACCTAAGGGTATCGCTTTTCGAATGAACTTCCTTCCGGCTGCATGCAAAACCACACTCTGTAAAAGATGGCTACTTACAGTACGTGACCGATCTCATGAAATCTGATAACGGAAACTGATTAGAGAATTTATGGACGCCTTTAACGTTGAGCATTTTGTTCAATCATCCACTTCCTTTTAAACTTGTACTTAATTAACATAGACATTGGACTCATGAAACGGTGTCGCTTTGCGAGTGATTGGCAATCATTCGTAAATTTCGACACATTTCATGAGTTAGTTCACTAACTGTGTGTAGCATGAGTTTTTCTCACTGATTTTCGATGCCCTTAAGGATTCAATAATATTTCATGGGAAACATGCATGAAAATATTCATTATTTTGCTCATTTGATAGAAAATTAGGTCCTCTTCTAATTTTATACTCGAATATGGGACATAATTCGGATTTTAAAAAGTTTCTAACTGTGGGACTTTTAACTACCGTGAAATGGCCGTTCATAAATCACCATGGCTCTGCATTTACCAATGTGGCTTGTAAAGTTAACAATATGGATCATACTCACTGCTTAATTTTATGAACCCTATATGGTCCCCCACTATTACCGTAGAGAAATGTGTGGTTTTTCGTAAGCGGAAATTATTCGGCTTGCAGTTTGGAAACCCTGAATCCAAGTGTAACGGTAGAGCGGGTTCAAATTTATTCGGGAATTGGAAAAGTTTTTGAAAACCGAATCATACCCTTCCTTCAAGTATATGATTGGGAGAAGACGTGATTTTCTACCGAATAAGCAAAAGAATGAATATTTTTATGCATGTTTCCCATGAAATAGAATTGAATCTTTAAGGGCATCGAAAATCAATGAGAAACACTCATGCTATGTAAGTAGTCATTTCTTGGAGAGTGTTGTTTTCGCATTACAAGCCTACTTAATTAATCTTTTCGAAACGAAAACGCATTTCGGAATTTCGGTTGCAATTTCATGAGTTAGCCCACCTACTGTAATTCACGCACAAGTCACTGTGCCTGCTTCATCCTGGGGTGGAACACACGATGGACATCGTCGGTTACGACGGTTGAACTGTCGAATAAAGTTGCCCGTCCATCCTACTGCAACGTATGGAATCCACCAACTCTGATAAAGTAAGCTGACTGTCTAAACAGGCTTGCCTAACCAATCAATCTCCAATCCACACGGTGACTACCAGGCTCACTTAATCCATTGGTGTTTTCAGTAGACTGGCTGTCATGTGTTCGAATCGCACCGAGTCCGCTGAGTCTTTCACAAGTGAGTCAAGTGAATTATTCAGTTTAATAAAAACACCAATTAAATATCCTTTTAATTATGAACCACGACATCGCCGGCAGTGGAACCAATATCAGCTCTGAATGACACAATGACCGTGATCTCTCGGCCGTGGTCACGATTTATGCATCCAACAACCAACGGAGTTCGCTTGACTGCCTTTGGTTCATCGCAGTTAATTCTTAATTTCCTGCCTACTTTCCACAAACCCTTCTGCGGTTTCTACCTGATTGGCATGCAAGAGGTGCGTCCACTGATGTGACCTGATTGCAGAATGTAGTGTAGCCTTTTGTCTCGTTTTTCGGTTCCTGCCTGGCGCAGCCACTGTCTATCACGCAGCGTCGATTAGTCACCGCCAACTAAGACGAGGTAGATTGAAATAGTAATGTCCGGTTTATTTTCCTTCTCGAATCGACCGCCGAACGCCCATCTAGAGCCAGAGACAGCTAAAATTTGCGTGTTGCTAGTCGTTGTGTAGAAATCGCGACCATGTAGCTCGAACAGCAGAGTACTAAGACAAAAGACAAATTTGAATCTTGGGGAAATTGCATGTCTTAAGGAATGGATTCGTCGAACGGATATCTGACGACAACGTACTAGCCAGAAGTTGTCAATCCAGTCCCTTCTGTCTTTGCAACGCATTCCACAGTGAAATGGCCACTATCAGTATTGTCACTCCGGACTACGCGTGTCAAAATTCTGTACAGGGCGGGCATTGATCTCCACCTGAGGAACCCTGTCGATGGTTCCTCGCAGATCGTGGATAGACGGTTGTTACGGCGACCGGAGACGAAATTGATTCATCGCCTAGGACGAAAGGAAGGCGTGATCACACATGACACAGCGGACGAAGCCGGTGGTCAAATGCACGTGGGGAATCAGCTAGCCAATCAGCGTGTGCCGCATCATCGAACACGCGTGAATGCCCTTGCCCAGGCGTGCAGCCCAATCAGCGGTCGACCGAACATTCAGGAATTTTTTTCACAAGAGGATTCTCACGCAAGAAGTGGCCCATTCCACAGCCTGCACGCCAGTGGGCATAATGTTTCGGAACCTTTTAGAGATCAATAAATAAGGCGAATTTTGGCGAGTTAAAAATCGTGCTACTCAGCCTAGCGGAATAAAGTGCTTCTTTCCTGAATCGGCCTTTCTTCTCTCCCATCCACCCGTCGGGACACAGCATCGTTTGAGGCCACAACGGCAGCATCCAGTCCTACACAGTAACTGCGATAGACTCTGAAGGGTTTAAAAAGCAGACTGAAACTGCAAGACTTTGATACAGCCTGCCAGCTAGGCTACAAAGCCCTGATATGCATGCTTCGAATTTTTCATGTCTACTTTAAGGTAACCACTGCAGTCTACTATGACGAACGGAATTCACCGAGCCTTCGAAATTACTCAGTAAATTACACCAGAAAGTTATACCTACTAAATTTATCCTTACTTTTTAGTCATTCCAGATCGAGTGCCCGGTAAAATCTGCTAGGAGAGTTAGTTTATTGGATGGAAATGATCGATTACATACCTCAGGGCAACTTAGACTAATAAATTAGGTTGTGATAGTTTGATCGTCACATCCGACGATGTCTAACGTGTGCTCCACAGCTAGATGAAACAGGCGCGGTGACTAACGTGTGAATTAGTTTATAGTGCGCAGGATCTACCACAATCTCTCCTCCCCACCTGGACTCGGTGTCAAGACAGAGTCAAAATTACCGGAGGTAGGGAGGACGCAGGTGGATGGCGCGGCCGAACCTGCACCTTGGCGCTCCACTCTCCACCTTCTTGGTCCAGAACAAACACTTCACCAGGATTTAGACCAAAAAAAACAACAGCAGAAGGGAGAAGGATGACTGGACAGCCATCCAGCCGCAGCAAAAACACACCCATTACCAGAGAACTAGGTCTCAGAGAACTGCCAGCAAACACCAGGCTGCGAGGGCCATGGTTTGTTGATCATGACATAGAAGACGCTAACTGTGAGAAGTTCATGGCTCTCGCTCGGGGCCCGTAACGCCTGAGGTGGAGAACCAGATGCTTGTCGTTTCTGGTGCGACCGCAAAGCCCTGATATGCGTGCTTCGAATTTTTCATGTCTACTTTAATGTAACGACTGCAGTCTACAATGACGAACGGGCTTCACTGAGACTTCATGATTGTACACTAAATTACGCCAGAAAGTTACAACTGTGAAGTGTAACCTTACTTTTTAGTCACTCCAGACCAAGCGTTCGGAATAATCTGTCTGGACAGTTAGTTTACTGAGGAGAATGAATTGCTCACCGGATCGGGGGACTTTTCTGGCTGACGTTTCGAAGAGCTGGGGCTACTCTCCATTGTCAAAGCGTCAAGTGAAAAAATCGATCGGCACATTTTGAATAGACTGCCGCATTAGTTGGCCCTGGGCCGATCGATTTTTTTCTTCTTTCGCTGCCTTGGCCTACTGGCCGTCGCCTGTTGGTGGCCTCCTGTATTATGACTGGCTGACGACGGCTACTAAGCCAGAAATTATTATTCCAGTCTTCCTTGTCTTTGTCGGTAATGACATACTGCCTATATCATGCGCCGCTGTGCGGCTGCTGGCTGGACTCGAAAGAGAGCCCGTAAGGCACAACTGAACGAGTGAGTTTCGTAAGAACGATTGGTGAGCGCCCCCCCCCTCCCTACCAAATTCATCCATCTTAGTATCCAGGATCAGTCAAAAGCACATTCCGCAGAAGCTGGGAAAATTTTACTTCAAAATACTCATATCCACTTTCGGAGCCAGCACAAAAAGGGTATCGGTGAGGAGTGGATATGTAAGTACACTGAGAAAATGACGCCCAGGGACTCCTTTTATAGGTGGAGGATGTTGCTATTAGTTTTTTTCAGTAGTGGAGATGGATGCGGCAGTGAACGGAATATGTGGAAGGCACTGAGACTAATCGCATTCATTCCTGTCTTAAGTTTGCTTTAGTACTCCAACGAGGTACCAGAACACCGGGCGCAATTTGAAAGAGGCGTGTGAACGGACGGAACAATATTTCC